GGTTTGAAGATGTTATTCAAGGAGTATAATCCAGTGAAGTAAATTTGGAAAGAGAATAAAAAGAAAGGGACATGAAGAATTCAGAAGATTAGAATTCGAGAGAACACAAGGAGTGGATGCACGTGCGCCATTGCAAACGATTTTGAGCCATATCATTCAGGGTCTCTAACCATCGGTTTTTATCATCTCTCAGATCCCAACCAGATAGTATACACATACCAACATGCCTCAGACCACTTGTCAGTGACTTCATGGATTTGTGCCATGCTTTGATCTGGCCACCCCTACTTTTCTTCCATTCTACTCCTACGCCAGAAAATATCGCATGTCGTGGCAGTCGGTGGTTGGGAATACGTAACACATGTCCCAGACATCTCAACTGATGAAGTTTCATTGCTTCATCAATTGATTCGTCATCCTTACCTAACAACCTTATTACTTACTCGGTGGTACCCCGATATACGAGCAATTCTTCAAAGACACTTACGGTCGAATAATAGTAACCTTCGAATATCTCCTACTATTACAGGCCATGTTTCACAGCCATAAAGTAGGATGGAGCGAACTACTACACAATAAACCTGTCCATTAGAAAGAGAAAAGAAAGGTACATGAAGAATTCAGAAGATTAGAATTCGGGAGAACGCAAAGAGTGGATGCACCCGCGCCATTGCAAACGATTTTGATTCATGTCACATTCATGGTCTCTAACCATCAGTTGCTATCGGTAATTTGTTTAAGATATCTGCAAAAGAATAGAAAACCAAGATCAATTCATAATCATGTATGTAATTCTTTGAATAGTTAACTACTGGTCATTATCATAAATCTGTCACGGATCTATATCCGTCTAGATACTTAGAATAAACACCAGGAATATAATGAAGATATGGTGAAGAGATAAGACAGGGATTTGAGATAATAATGATATTAATCAAATGAAAGTCTAAAAAATTCCCATATTGTAATTTAGAACAACATAGATATAAGCGAACAATATTGTTTTCGACTAAATCCTCATCAGGGTTTACTCTAATATACAGTAATGTATATATATGCATATACAAAATTATTAAACCAATCAAGGTAGTTTATGAGTCAATGATAACAATGGAAAAGATTATATAATAAGTGAAAAGTACAAATCGATAGTATGATGACAGGTGTACTAGTTGTGATAAGTAATATTAAAGTAGCTAAGTGGATAACGCGATGGCGTCTGGAGCAAACAATACTGGGTTCGAGTCTCAGGGTGAACATCAACTCTGAGATGCAGGCACATTTAGATGACGAGTCCCAAATAGGACTAAACGAGCGTAACACTGGATTCCACTACTAGCCACTATCCACCTTTGCTTAAAAAAGCTTGTGACTTAAGGCAATATCGAGGCGATATGCACAGTATGCACATATGCCAACATGAGGCTGATCAACTGCAGTCCTAAGTAATAATGGGAAGATTCAAGTAAACAATACCAAGCGAATTAATATCTACACTTGGATATTTGTATGGAACTGATGTATTTTCAAAAGAAACTATCTGTAAATTCATAAAGCTATGAATCACTGGAGCTCTTGACTAATCAAAAATGGCCTCCATAATCATTGATTCTTATTATTTCAACATGATTTCAGTTTGATCTATTTCATATTCTGAATTACAGTTGATGAATAAAAATATTCATTGTTTGTTAGTACTGTAGTAAACGAGAACAGAAGTGGTGAAAAGAACCATACAGTAAATACTTCCTTTACAAAATGTCAATCAATCATCTCAGACTTCATTGTTCTTGCATTACTATACCGATTGCTTTCCGTTTCCGTTCTTTCCTTCTTGAACTTCTGATGCTAGATATTTTATTCCTAATTAGCGTTATTTACTACTTATGTCGACATAAGTAGCATACATTACAGTGTATGAGTAGATACTGAATAAGATGTCCTTAAAGTTTAGTTAATTGCATAAATTGATGAAAAGTTTATGAGAAAAAACATGATTACTAAAAATGTATGTGAAATTTCGCATCACTTTCTGTTTGATAAAAGTTCTCATCTTATAACCTTACGTGTGACCACTGGTTTATCTTAAATCATAATGATTTTACACATATTTGCTTATTATTTGTATGATAAGCTTACAGATAAATTGCCTGAAGTTCTGTTGCAAGACCATAATTAACTTTGTTCAATAAGTATGGAACGAAGTAGATATTAGTGTTAATTGTTGAGTTTCCAAGTAATTAAATTAGTTATTGATTGAGAGCTTGAACCGATTGATGTTAGACCACCACTGAAAACTTGGGAGCACTGGACGGCCATTTCGTCCTATTGTGAGACTCTTCAACAGTGCGCATCCACAATCTCGTTTGCGGGATTCGAACACAGGGCCTTCATTCTTGCGCGCGAATGGTTCAGCTGCTTGATCACTGAGCCGGTATCCAACGGTGTTAATGTCTAAACTCAACCAATCCACAAAATCGCGCAACCATCTTCTATTGTACTGAAGTAGATATCTGTCTCTGCCCGGCACGAAATGACTTCACTGGTCACGGATTCTCACTAGAACTCCGAGAATTCCCTCACGAAGTTACTCACTAGTAAGCACATGGTAATTATCAGTATATGGTTGTGGAGATTATTAAGCTAATGATTGAGATCTTGAACCAATTGATGTTAGACCACCGTAGAAAACCTGAAACCACTGGAAGACCGTTTCGTCCTAATGTAGGACTCTTCCACAACCCTATACTGAAGTCAATCCTATAGAGAAACAGCAGCTAACTGACGAGAACAGGTAATGGGTACATTGTATCACAAATAAACGAAGCTTGAAAAATAAAGAAAACCAAATAGAAACATCTTAGCTTAATAGTACTCTATATAATATTAGATTTGAGGTTTTTAGTTCTATACTGCGTAAAGCCCTAAATGGATACTGTGGTGGTATTTTACACTCATTCAAAAATTGACTATTGTTTCCAGATTTTCAATGCTTCTTATTTAACTAATTTCCTTAAAAGTAGAACAGTTGTTGTTTATGTAAATAGTTTTAATGGTTCAGTTCATATCCATAGTTATCCGTTTTAGGTATTCTGTTAGTTGAGATGTCTGGGACATGTGTTACGTATTCCCAACCACCGACTGCCACGACATGCGATATTTTCTGGCGTAGGAGTAGAATGGAAGAAAGGTAGGGGTGGCCAGATCAAAGCATGGCACAAATCCATGAAGTCACTGACAAGTGGTCTGAGGCATGTTGGTATGTGTATACTATCTGGTTGGGATCTGAGAGATGATAGCAACCGATGGTTAGAGACCCTGAATGATATGGCTCAAAATCGTTTGCAATGGCGCACGTGCATCCACTCCTTGTGTTCTCTCGAATTCTAATCTTCTGAATTCTTCATGTCCGTTTCTTTTTCCTCTTTCCAAATTTATTTCACTGGATTATACTCCTTGAATAACATCTTCAAACCCTAATGTTTCCGATTACTGCTTATACTCTTACTAACTCTACCACTATGGGATTTGAGTCGACAATTGTATCTGTGTGCTAATGTGGTACTGTAACTCGAACTGATGTACGTACATATGAAGTTCTACGTTGTTACTGACTGACTGATTCTGTTAGTTACATTTGATTTTTATTCTAGTTATCATCTTATGAAATTAAATTAAATAAATTAATGTGAAAATTTTCAAGTTTTTCTGAAAGTATCTTAAATACATTTGCATTATAACCAGTATTATATAACTAACATACTTAATTATACCTGCTGCTTTTCATGAAGGAGCATAAGCTAATCCCTAGCATTCTCCATTCAACTTTGTCCTGGACAATCTTTTCTCGCTGTGATTCATTCTACGCATATCTACTTCCAATTCTTTATGAAGTGCGTCCTTTAACTTTCCTCTTTTCGGTTTTGTTTCAGGATTTCAAGTTAGTGCTTGCTTCATGGTACAGTTTGATGATTTCTCCGATGTGTTTCCTATCCACTTGCAACGACTTTTCCTAATTTCTTCTTCAGATGGAAATTAGTTTGCTTTTTCTAACAGTAGGTTGTTGCTAATGGTATACAACTAAAAGACATGAGTATCTTACGTAGATAATTGTCTACAAATACTTGTACTCTTTTGATAATGGTTATAGTAGTTCTCCAAATTTCAGCTCCGTGCAATATAACTCACTGTCTTGAAGTTCGTATTGAAGATTGTGACTTGGGTATTGGTTGACAGACAATTATTTTGTGTTCAATCTGTTCATTAACTATAAAAATACTTTCAATAGTTGAAAACATGAGTCAATTGAAGCTAGACCACCATGGTAAACCTGAAAACACTTGACGGCCATTGAATGTTTAAGCGTTCACGTGAGACTGATAAGTCATGGGTTCGAATCCTGCAGGGGGAGCGGGATCGTGGGTGCGCACTGTTGACGAGTCCCATACCAGGTTTTCCACGGTCGTCTAGCCTTCAATGGACTCATGATTTCAACTATTAAAATTACTAAAATCTCTACAAAACCATTTGTGATTCTTAAAATACTGTCATTACTTAGCTAACCCTTACCTTTAAACTAACACAACTATCCCAAATAATATTCTCCAATCAAAATGTTTATTCTAACCTTCTATTAAAATCTATCATTTTATAATAATCAATAAATAACCAATAAAAACAAACAAAACTTTGATTTGATTGGTTATTTACAAGGCTAAATTATTTCCCTCATTCTGATTGGCTGATCATAGATGATTGTAAAATAAAAAAAATTGATTCAAACTTTGATTTGATTGGTTATTTACAAGGCTAAATTATTTCCCTCATTTTGATTGGCTGATCATAGATGATTGTAAAATAAAAAAAATTGATTCAAACTTTGATTTGATTGGTTATTTACAAGGCTAAATTATTTCCCTCATTCTGATTGGTTGATCATAGACAATTGTTTTTTTAAAAATAAAGATGAAGTATATAACAACGTGACTAGTAACAACTGTGATACAAATAGGATTTAAACAGCAAATTCGTCGTTGATGTTGGTACGGTATTTGACTTCATAAAATGAATATGTATATCATTCATTTGTATTTTATGGATTATTATTATTATTATCGTCATCATCATAAATTTCATAAATGAACATTATCCATATTATTATAATACAAATTCAATCATTTAAATTTGGAAATTATGCTTGCTAATGGTGAATATGTAGATGGTTCATGGTTATTATCAATCTATATACATGATTTAAATATTCAACGTGATATACGTGTACATGGTGAATGGTCTATTAATGAATTAATTACACAATTAATTGATGGTTTAATATGTCCCCAAAGGAAATTATTACAATCCAATGAAATAAGTTTACATTCTAATCATATTAAAATGAATTGGGAAGATTATGGTTTATGGTGGCCAATAAAATCCAAATGGTTATTAAAAACTAAATTAAGTTTAAATCAATATGGTTTACAAGCAGATGCTAAATTACATTTTTTATCCATATATGGACAATTAAATATACAATTACCCGATTTACAAATACGTAAATTTATTGATATTAATTTTGCTGAACCAGTTTATCGTGTTACATTATCTATATGTCATTATTTAAATATAAGACATTCAGAAGAATTATCATTAGGTTATCCTATTCAACAGAATGATTTAAAACATTCACGTTTTATACCAAATTCTATACATAAACATGATCAGACATTATTGAATACAAAGAAATATTCAACATTTCAACGTAGTGCTACTATAAATACAACACATTCACAATATAAACCATTACATAAAGAATCATTATTTCAAATGAATAATGAAATGAATATAAATCATTCTCAACAACAAGATGATGAAGGATCTATGAAAAGTTCTATATTATCAAAACATTCAATTCAATTATATGGTCCACCAATAATACGTGATAAACGTCATCATTATTATTCTATAAGACATAATTCAAGAAATTCGAATCATCAAACAACCTTATCATCAATTCCATTTAATTTACGTATTGTAGATGATCCATCATTAATTTATAGTCCGATTATTCATATAGATGAGGCTATACAAAATCATTTAATTGTAAGACCAAATAATTATATACAACGTATACGATTAAATACAATATGGTTAGATTCATCTAAATCATTATTAGAACAAGGTATAACTATGTTAGGATATAATCATTCCTCTTCTATTTCTTCATCTTCTATGAATCAACCTAATTCATTAGGACAAGTACATAATGATGAATATACAAAGTTATCAAATAGTGACAAAGATAATAATACAATACCAACATTAATTCTACGTTATAAATATGGTATCTATTATGATTTAAATATAAAATATGATTTAATACGTATTAATCAATTATATGAACAAGCTAAATGGTCTATTCTATCAGAAATTTATGATGTAACAGATGAAGAAGCATGTTTATTTGCTGCATTACAATGTCAAGTATGTGATCATGAATACTATTTTATAATATTGATTTATTTATGGATACTATGATACTACTAGGTTATTCAAATTAAAATAGGTGATTTCCTTTTGTGCGATGGTAGGGTGGGGGGTTCATACACCTAGAGATTTCGATATAAATATCTAATCAACAAATTAGTGGAGTAACGTCAGGAGATACAGTCATATGATAGCCAGTGATCAATAATTGGTTCATACTCGATTTGTTCCTTCAAGATCTTAGAGCCCATGTATATGATTGGTTTAGATTGAGGGTTTTTTTTAACTCCCCTAGGTGTATCGTCTATATCTACTAATCCAGTTAAAGTGCCGGACATTCGCTTCTTGTCTTTTCAATTTCGTAAACGATATCCTCGCCATAAAAATTCAGTGAAGATTAGTTTCGTTAAATATAATCATATGTTAATTGAAGTAGACTGTACTGTAATGATATGTATTACAATGTCAAATATGTAATGATTACTATCTTTTCATAATATTGATTTATTTATGTATCTTAAAGAGGGATTCAGTGAAATATTCAAAATACTTTTTATAAAATCATAGAAATGTGAACATATTGAGAAGGAGGAGGGGTTGCCTAGTTGCTTAAAGCAAAACAGGTTTTTTTTTTAAAGGGCCCCACGCTCGAAGACTTCGACATAAAGAACTGTTCCAGCGGAGCAACGTCAGGAGATACAATCACATGTTAGCTGATGATCAATAATTGTTTCATACGCCATTTGTTCCTTCAGGATCCTAGAGGCCATGTACGTGATTGGTTTAGAATGAGTGTTTTTCACCTCTCATAGGTGGATCCTCCATATCCATCAACCCTGTTAAATCATTGGATATTCGCTTTTCGTCCTCTGAATTTCGTAAACAACACCTCTGTCACAAGAAGGCAGTGAAAATGAGTCACGTGAAATACGATCATATGTTAATGGAAAGTAGACTGTTCTATAAGGATACATTTGTCAGAATGGGTTTTGTGGAGATTTTAGAAATTTCACAGATTGAAATCATGAGTCAGTTGAAGCTAGACCACCATTGAAAACCTGGAAGCACTGGACGGCCGTTTCGTCCTAGTATGGGACTCCTCAGCAGTGCGCATCCACGATCCCGCACCACATTTGATTGGAAACCTCTAAATGTTAATTAGACATCTGTTCATTCTTATTTTATTATTCATTATCCATAGATTTTGTTGCAATGATTTTCTTAAATAAAGATTGTACATAAACAACAATCTTTATTTATTTGTTCCGTCCTACTTTCTGGCTGTGAAGCATGGCCGGTAAGAGTAGAGGATATTCGAAGGTTACTATTATTCGACCGTAAGTGTCGTTTGTATCCTGGGACCACCGAGTAAGGAACGAGGTTGTTAGGGAATGGGTACTAAGTAAGGATGACAAATCAATTGATGATGTCTGGGACATGTGTTACGTATGCCCAACCAGCGACTACACCGACGTGCGATATTTCATGGTGTAGAAGTAGGATGGAAGAAAGGTAGGGCCGGCCAGACCAAAACATGGCACAAATCCATGAAGTCACTGACAAGTGGTCTGAGCCATGTTGGTATGTGTATACTATCTGCTTTGGATCCGTGAGACGATAGTACAGGACTATTTAACAGTGTACATCTACGATTCTGTTAGGGATCAAAAATATGAAATCTTAGTATCACAACCTATGGCTATGATTAGATTTATTTCTAAACCATTTTGATTTAATAATCAGATTAGATCCAATGAATTCAGTTTCTTCAGAAAAGGTTTAAAGTAATGAGAATTTGCTTTTAGCCATCTAAAATACACTAGGATTAATTTATAACTAGAGATTCTTTAAGGTTAAGCATTTATTTGTAACAATTTGTACATTGAAAAATGTGAACGTAAATTTTCACCGACTGAGATGGTTGAGCCACGTGTTACGTATGCCTGAACACCAATTATCACGACGCGCAATGCTGAATAGCGTTGGGGATGGTTGGAGGAAAGTTAGGGACGGCTAAACCAAAACGTGGAATCAGTTATTGAAGTCACTAACTTCTGGTCTGAACCATGTTGGTAGATGCAGACTACCTGGTTGGGATCCGCGTGACTATCGTAACCAATGGTTGGCTTAGAATCGATAACAATGGCATAGGTGTATACGCTCTCTGTCTTCCCTTAAACTAAGAGATTAAAATCACTTCATATCTTTCTTTCTACGAACTAATTCTTTCTTCCTGTACTACATCCTTACAGACAACCTTTCTTTTATATATTACTTCCATTGAAGTAACTAGTTCTATGAATTTGGTATTCATCTTGTGCTAATGAGATGTGGCAATTTGGATCGATGCATATGTGTACCTGGTTCTACGTTGTAGCCAACCAACCGACTGATATCACAAATCAAATTCTCTTATATCTATCTGGCTTTAAATGAATATTATTATCAAATTTTCGGGTCTTTTTTTGGACATTACGATTTCAGTTACGTTTTTTTATTCATTACACCAAATGTTCCACTAATCACAATTACACATTCACTTAGAATAAACCATGCATTCTCATGTCGGTAGAATTACAGATAGTCTATAAATGTATTTGTACTGAATAGAAGGTATTAACGAAACTATTTTGTAGTTCTATTGTGAATTTCTTTCAGGTATTTGCTTATGATTTATATGATACACGATAATTAGTTTGTGCTTTCTAGTGTATACATATGTGCATATATTCATGCGCTTATAAAAGAATATAGTCACGTAAACTGGCCGTACACATACACTTATTTATTTATTTATTTGAACATGTAAATATTCATACAAAGGGGCACCGAATACCTATACGTCACATAAGTCACTCGATTTGTGTGTGGGCAATGATACTACCCGAGAGACCAAACCAAAACAGGTGGTGTTCTTAGAGGTTCAGTCACCGAGCCTTTGGCCTAAAGGTCTAATCCACAAGGCAGTCGGGGACTGTTACGATATGTAGTCTCATAGTAGCCGGTGACCAACAATAAGATCACAGGCCATTTGTTCTTTCAGGATCCTGGAGCTCATGTACACCATTGGTTTGGAATCAGGGTTTTCCAACTTTCTAGGTGGATCCTCTATATTCACCAATCTGGTTAGAGTGCCGGAGATTCGCTTTTCGTCCTCTTAATTTCGTAAACAACACCCTTGTCACGAGAAGGCAGTAAGTAGGGCTTCCCTGACAATGGTTGTATGCACGTGGCCATTTGAGAGTATTTCGAAAGAGAGAGCTAACTCTCCCCACCCTCGTCCGTACCAGGGCATTTGGGGGCGCTCACATACATGGACTAGCTTTTTAGTTTAAGTATTTCTAAGAAACGTAATATATAATTGCTTAGTTATGTGAATATAACTTCATACAATGTATTACCATTTATTTGGTAATTAGCATTCATTATTTTAACTGATTTTTTCAGTAATATTATCAGACATTTTTGTATTTTTATAAAAAAATCAAGAATGTCATTTTTTGGTTGAGATCATGAACCGATCGATGTTTGATCACCATTGCAAAACTGGAAGCACTGGATGACCGTTTCGTCCTATAGTGGGACTTCTCAGCAGTGCGCATCCACGATCCCGCACCCCGCGAGACTCGAATCCATGACCTATCGGTCTCGCACGCGAACGTCTAACCTCTAGATCACTAAGCTGACTGGCATCCAGCGGTGTTAATGTCTAACTTTGACTAATCCACGAAATTGGGCGACACATTCACTATTGTTTTCAGTGAGTTACTATCTCACAACAAACCCAGTTGAACTCCACTTGTCACTATTTCTCACTATAATTCCAAGAAATTTCCTCTTGAAGCCATTCACTAGTGAGAATATGTTGATGAATATCAGGAGGGGTTTTGTGGATATTATAGTAATTTCAATGGTTGAGATCATGATTCAATTGATGCTAGACTACCATGGAAAACTTAGAAGCACTGGACGGCTGTTTGACTCATGATTTCAACTAATAAAAAAAAGAATTACTATAGTATCCATATAAACCCCTTCTGATATATATATATAACTATTAACAAACTTCTAAATTTCTGTATGTTACCCCTAGATAAATATTATATACATCTAAATAGGATATACATTCGTAAAATATGTGTGTTGATGTATATATGTAGATGTAATACTGAAGTATATAACAATTTGATCCTAAAAAATGGACAATGATCAAAATAATTATAAGATAGTTAAATATCACTTAATTTTAGAACAAATAATTTATTTATATTACATAATCATGTAATCAGTTAATTAATAACATACATATAGATGGTAGCAGATAGAGTCGGAGTTATCACTTAGAAACTATGCAAAATTAAGCATTTTAAATATCATGTTGTCACATTTCATTATGCATTTTCTTTGGGGGGGGGATGTTAGTTTGTCAATAATTTAGTTTTTATGTATAATTATCAAGAGACTGTGTTGTTCATATGAATCCAAAGGTAATTGTTCCTTATTCATCTGTACATATACAATTTTTCCTTTGTTGATAATTGCCCCCAAATGACGGCCGAGGGTGGAGAGAGCCGGATCACATGGCCACATGCATACAGCCACTGCCAGGGAATACCTACTAATTGGCTTCTTGCGGTTGGGGTGTTATTTACGAAAGTGAGAAGACGAAAGGCGAATATCCGGTGCTTTAACCAGGTTGGTGAATACGGAAGATCCACCTAGGAGAGTTGGAAAACCCTCATTCCAAACCAATGCTGTATATGAGCTGCAGGATTCTGAAGGAACAAATGGCTTGTGATCTTATTGTTGGTCACCGGCTACTATGTGACTGCACCCCCTAACGTTTTCCTACTGCATTGTGGATTGGACCTTTAGGTCGAAGGCTCGGGGTTCGTCCCCCCAAGAAAACCACCTGTCTCGGTTTGAGCACCCGGACAGTATCCCAGCTCACATGCAAAGCGAATGATTTGTGTGGCACATATCTATTTAGTGTCTCT